TCCTTCGATGTCCCCCCGCATCCCTGCGGTCACCGATGCTCCTGTCACCCACGTCCCTCTGGCCGTGGGGGGCTGGAGATGGGCGACGAGGCTCAAGGCGGCTGCGGGGGGACGCCGGGGACGGTGGGGCATCGAGCGTAGCGGAAACCGGGGGGGGGGGGGCAGGGAGGGGACCCCGTTCCCCACTGGTACATGTGGGGACCGTGCTCGGGCTGGCTTGCCTTGAGATGCGTGGGTGCAGTTGTCACCCCACGGCCGGTGACGGCATCCCTCGGGGACAGCAGAATCTTTTGGGGGCACGCGGCACCCCTTTGGGGACACGGAGCATCCCTAGAGGGCCTGGCTGGCTGCTCCGGCAGGCGCGAGGGTGGCACCCGAACGCACCCTTTTGGGGTGTCCGTCCCCTCCCTAAGGGTGTCCCCAAATTGCCGGCAGCCCCTGGGCGCCGGAGGGACCCTGGGGCTCCCTGGCGTGTCCCCCCGGCAAGGCAGGATGGGGCCCTGGGTGCTTCGGCGTGCCGGGAAGGATGGCAGCGGGTGCTGGCGGCGGATGCTGCTGACTCAGGACCTTCCCAAATGGTTCCTATTTTTATGCCGGGGCCGGTAATATTTAGCCCCGGGATCAAAAGCAGCTGGAGGGAGCTGGGTGATGCCGCTCGGCGGGTGCTGCCGGCGTGAGGCGTGAGTCACCGGCGATTTTTGGCAGCGCCAGGCAGGGGCGGCCACACCCCCCCCCCAGGGGTTGGGTTTGGGGTGCTGGGGGCTGAGCCCCCCACCCCGTCTTGGCAAGCCTCCGGCTGGATGCTGGGGCTGGGGGTTGCCCTTCCTCATCCTCGCCGGGTGTGTGGTCGAGGGGTGCTCGGGGGTGATGCTTTTTGGGGTGCTGAGGAGGGGGGCTGGGTGATGCTGGGGAGGGGGGGGGAGTCTGGGCTGGGTTGGGGTGCCGGGAAGCCCTCCCGCCTTCCTCCCTTGCCCACCCCACCATCCTCCTCCTCCTCCTCCTCCTCTCGCTAGTCCTAAATTCGGTTGCCACGGCAACCATGTCAACCACTTTCCAGCTTCCCCGTGATGGTTTGAGGAGGGGAGGGAAGAGGGGAGCCAAGGGAAGGGGGGGGGCGGTGGGCGAGGGCTGCATGCCACCGAGGGGGGGGACACAACAAGGGACCGGGGACATCGCCCTGAGATCGGGGCTTGGGGTGACGCTTCCCAGATGGTTTTTTTCCCCGCTGGGTCCCGTCTGGCGAGCGGGGGCCGGTGCCAGCCCGGTGTATGCCAAGGGGTCAGGGCTGGGGGTCCTGCCCTGGGAAAGGGGGGTTCGATTGCAGCCCCCCCCCCAGCTCCGAGCAGGTGGGGGGGTACCCCCAAAATTCAGTGCCTGTCTGCAGCCATCCTGCTTGTGCCAGGGCCCCGCCGGTACCTGGGATGCCAGTAGCTGCACAGCTTGGAGGGGGGGTGTGATTTATTCCCAGACACCCCCTTCTTCTTCCTTTTTTCTCTTCCTGCCCCCCCCTCGCTCCGTAATCTCTTTATTCCTGGGCTAAGCCTGGTTCCCAATGGTTTTAAAGGCAGATTTGCCTGTAGCTATATAGGACAGGGTGTAAAGCCGGGCGGCTGTGCGGGTGGGTGTGTAACGCCAGCGCTGGCATCACCCCGCGGCGGGTGGGCGCCCGGCTGTGTCGTGTCCCCCCCCGGGAACGTGCTGCGCCGGCACGGAGCCGCGGTGCCGCCGGAGGGGGGGAAAGCAGGCGAGGTGTAATTACCCCAGCGGGAGTTTGGCCCGCGATGAAAGCGGGGTAACCGCTGCCGCCATGCAGTCATCCCCCCCCCCGGCATCCCTCCTCCCGGCACCTCCAGAACCCTGATGCCCGGGGGTCCCTGGGATGCTGCGGGTATCGCTCACCTCCAAACCCACGCCAGGGTTTTTTTTGGGGGGGGGGGAGCAGGTGCTTCTTTTCTCTACGGTATATGTACCCCCCCTCCCTTTCCTTTTCCTTGGCACCGGTTGGCAGCACCTGCCAGGGACGCTCCTCCTTGGCACGGCATCGCGGCACGTGCGCGGGCACCGCCGGCGGCAGCCACGCTCGAGGCACCGACGGCAGCCGGGGGGGGGGACGACCAGGGCCAGCCCTGCCCCGAGCCTGGCAGCAGGGTGCATATTTCTCCCCCCCTTACCCCCACCTTCCCATTTTATTATTAATTTTTAACTTTATTTCCCGATCGCCGCACTTAATTAAACGCAGGCGCCTCTTGCCATGAGCTGACGCGGGGTATTTATTACACCAAATGTCGACGGGAAGGATGCTCCCCCACCGCAACACCCCTCCGATGGATTCTTTCGCCGGCGTTAAAAGCAGGGGGGGTGACACCCCAACCCATCCCACCCCCCCGCGAGGGGCTTTGCGGGGGAAGGATGCTGCATTTCTGCATCACCAAGCTTTCTCCTTCCCCCCTTCTTTTAATAATAACGCTTTAAAGATGTTTGACATCTGTAACAAACAGCTGGCATCCTGTTATGGAAGAATGTCCTTTTATTTCGGAGCAGGTTGAACTGTCATTAATAGTATAATTAGGTGATTATCGGCGTACAGCAGAAAACTGCTTAATTGCACAGCCAGCTTTGCGAGGATCCCCGGCTCCTTTATTGCTGGATTTGTTTTAGCCGCCTGAATTTTTTCGTGCTGTGTTGTTGTTTTTTTCCACGTTGATTATTATTTTTTAATGCGCGTGGCAGCTGGGGGAGTGTGGCAGCACCGGCAGCGCCGGGGGACACACACG